GGCTCCGGTTACCTCGGCAACGGCGGCGGCGCGCGGGGCCGGCCGGCGCCTCCCGGGCCCAGGTCGGTGCTGGGGCCGCGGGGACGCGAGGGCCGCGCCCGGGGAGGGGGGACCCGGTGCCGGCCTTCCCGGGGGACCCACCCGGTGCCGCTCTGGGAGAGGAGCCCCTGGCCTGGGGGAAGAGACCCGCGGCCGCTGTCGGAGCGGCTCGAGGCCTAGTGGTGCTGACGGAAGGGAGGGAAGGCCGGCCCTGGGAGCTGCGGTCCCGAGCGCCCGGGCGTTGTCCCGAGTTAGGTGCTTGCACCCGGTGTGCCAGAGGCCGAGCCACGCGCAGGGCGGCAAAACCACCAAGCCAGCACGACCGCTAGCAAAGCTTTACACTGTTTACACATTTTAGCAAGCAAAAACTTTAATGTTCGGTGACTGCAAGTCATCTAGTTCTCTTATTAATTAGTATCCTCTCTTCTTTTGGCTAATGATATTCTGGTTTCCCATGCTAATTAGTCCGTATGCTCAGTCTTTCCCTTCTTTTGGATCTTAGACCATTAAAATATATCCGGCCCTAAACATAAAACAAGTAAATTCTACTGGAAAAAAAATTGTCTTTCTAACACGTGGACATCACTTAAAGCTTTTTTGTTGGCTGTTCTCTGTTTCATGGATTAAATCTCCTTTGTTGTTGATTAGGCTTGAAAATAGACAAAGATCAGACATGAAAGAACATCCTTTCTTAAGGAAAAAAATCTTACACAGTTTGCTGTTAAGCTCCCAGGCCCGACTCTGGCTTAAGTAATTTTCAGAGGTGTTTGATAAATGCTGTGTAGCATTGTAGGTAAAATATCAGCTGGCAAAAAAGACGGAAAAAAAGGGCACCTGTGCCAGCTGTAACTACTGTAACTCTTCACAGATGAGAAAAAACATAAAAATAGGGGCAGGGCAAGAAGCCAAGGGTACGTTTCTTTCCCACTGCGTTCTTAAATAATGACTGTGCTACCTGGTAGGAAAATTTGCTATAAAAACATGGCTCTAATTAAAATATTGCTAGGAACTCTTGTGTATTTGGGGTTTTGGATTTAAAAGTGAAGCCCTAGAAGTATTTTTAGGGGTTTGTATTTCTTCGTTTCATTTTAGGAGTGCCTACAGTGTACTTTTTTGGCCCTATCTAGAATGTATAGATGATGCTTTTGATTGGCTAAGAAAGGAATGTGTCTTGGAGCAGGTTTTTGTCAGGATAATTTAATAAATTAATAACAAAAGCTTTAATCACTGAGTTGTATATATGGATTAGAAAAGGAGTGAGGTATAAACCAAAGAAGGTTAGAATGAGAGATTTGCTATAACTAATGTTGGGGTTTTTTAATTACACAGTTTTTAATAACTGTGTAATACTGTAGCTGCAATGTAGATCATGACCAGTCCTGAATCAAAATGCACCAGATGAAGCTCTAAAAAAGATCCGTATTTTAAGAGGAAAAATCATCCTTTAGTCAGAATGATTACTTATGTGACCTTATTCAACACAAAGTTTTAAAATTATTAAAAAGCAGTTAGCCATCATTTTGTATCAATTACTGAAAACGTGTGATCAAAGATTTGTTTTTGATTTTTTTTTTTTTAACTTTTGCCCCTCCTGCTGTGATTTCCTGGGGTAATTAAGCTTGCAACCTGAGTTGTCCACTGCTGTGTGCTTTTAATTTATTATGAAAAAAAACAGCCTTCACCACTCCAGAAATCCTCTGACATTAATTACTTTATTATTCAAGGCATCTCAAAGGTTTTCAGCTGTCTGATTGCTGAAATTCTTTCTAGTGGAATTCATTCAGGACAGACAAGGGTTATCCTCTTTGCAGAGTGCGTTTAGCCAGGTATTGCAGGGCAACACGTGATGTAAGCTCCTTTGAATGTGCCACTGCCAGGTAACTTCAGCCAGTCTGGGAAACAGCAGAGGTTTGGCATCTCCCTGACGTGTGGGTGAATGTTTTGGTGCCTGTTAGATCTATTTTAATCAGTTTCTATTTATGGTGGATGAAGAGTTCCTAATTTACACATGTCAATATTGGCAAAACCTGTTAGAGTTTGAGTCAAATCAACAGGGAGTGCTTTATTTAATGCAGGGTTCAGTAAATTATGTAGCAGGTGCTGAAGAAGGGAAATAGTGTTTTGTTGTCTGAATGATGGACTGCTGACAACTGGAAGTAAAGATCATGGCCCTCGTTTTGGTTTTTCTCAGTTTGGTGGGAGCCCTGGTGGGGCTGCAGTTGTGCCCCTGTTTGGGCTGCTCAGAACGATGGCAACATTTCCTGCCTGGTGAATCAAGGGCATTGTGTGATACAGACAGGGCTATAAACAGCCAGTCTACTTTGGTATCGAGGCCTCCTGGCTGTAATCAGCTTACCCTCCATGTGCTTATGTGCAGAGCCAGCCCCTGGCACAGTATTTGTGTAAGGTCCTGCTCACACCATCCTCTCCCAGGTGTGAGGCTGCTCAGCCCCATGCCCACCCTCCGTGCCAGCGCTGCCCTGCATGTAGCGCTTTTCCAACAGCTCTGATTCCCTGAACAACAGGTGATCCCTGTGATTTCCAGCCAGAGCCATGGGATTGTTTGACAAGCTGGCAGGATGGCTTGGGCTGAAGAAAAAGGAGGTTCACGTCTTGTGCCTTGGCTTGGACAACAGCGGCAAAACAACGATCATCAATAAACTTAAACCTTCAAATGTAAGTAGCCGGCTTGGTTCACTGCTGGGTGTTTGTTTGGTCTGGCTTTGCATGCTATTGTACTGAATATGCCCATGGAAAAGATGTGAAGAGCTTGTGGTTTAGTGGAACAAATATATTTTAAGACTTTCCAACTAACTAAAACTAAGGGTAAGCATTCACATGCACATTATTTTCCAAAAAAACCCCACTGTTAATGTGGCACACTTCTGTTAAAATCACCGGGTAAGGAAGGATTTATGATGGCTGAAATCAGGATCTGAAACAGTCACTCAAATTGCTTAAATAATTGCCACAGGATTGCAGTTACAAGTGATGTTGAATGTTTAAGATTAATACAATTGTACAAGAACTAATCATGTTTATTTTAATCTCTTCCTGAAAAATAATAAGTGAATAAGAGATAAAAAATAAGAAATAAAAAAGAAGATGCACATTTAAGGGTGACTTCACTATTTTTAAAGCCAAATAATTTTCAAAATAAGTACTGCTAATACTTGTAGTTCATTCACCCAGTGAAAAGTGTTTAAGGCCACTAGAAGTACATAATATTCTAAGCAAAAATGAGAGTAGGATCATCTTGTTTCTAGATATTTTTATGGGCTAGAAATAGATGAATTTTGGTCAGCATGTTCAAAGCCAAAGGTTATGCATCTTGGTTATGTACATCTGGGAAACTGATTTCTGCTGTTTATATCAGGACACAGTGTTTTTAGTATTATTATTATTAATTTTCATTGAATTTTCCCTGATGAGTCCACTGGCCATTTAAAAAGTGTGACATAGTGAAGAGTCTGCTACTCTTCCATTCCTGGCAATTATTCTTCCACTGAACATTGAGTAGATTTATAAACAAAGACTATAAACTGCTTGCTATCTGCTTCCAGTTGTTTGGTAGAAAGGCTACAGTTTGTACCAGGCAAATTGTATCTTTATGTAATTACTGAGACCTTTTTTGTAGAGGGTTTTTATGTCATGCCTTAAACAGTAAGGGATTCCTAAACAGAGTTGAATGCAGACTTGAAGATTTATCACAATAATGGGCATTAGAGAAGCTCTCAGGGGAATTACATGAGTAGAATAAACGGAATTTATTTGTAATGAGAATTTATAGGAGGATAACTTTGCATCCAACTTGTGTAAGTCCTACCCTTGCAAGACATGCCAAGTAGTCTAGCATGTGACAAATGTCATTAGGTCAAAGTTAATAAAACTGTTTATTTTTAGTAAGTTCAATGGACAGGTGATTTTGAGAGGTCTGGGCCAACCCAGTCTTCTTAAGAACTGCTGCTTTACCCCCAGAGCAATATATCAGGGCCTGGCAAATCCAAATGTTTTTCCATCTGTCTGCAGTTGCTTCTGCTGGACCTGCCTATGGATGGTGTTTGGAATAAGGGGCTCTGTGAGTCTGTGCAAGGATTGCATGTCACTTTCTCAGACGGCTCTGTAATCTATGGGATGTGACCTTTCTTCCTGCTCAATATCGATGCTTCTTAGAGGAGCTATTCTTTTCCACCAACTTAGCTGAGAGGTTCCTTGACCAGCTCAGTAGTAAATCAGACAGATCACTTAGCAGTGCTTTGTGTTTTGACAATTCCAGTAGCATTCACTTAATTCTCCAAAAAAAAAAAACCCTTTGATTCTAAATGCCTTTACTTTTCTGGGAACTAATATTGCACAGTTTGGGGCAGAAATAAATCTGTAATATATTCATGTTTCAAATATATTTCCGTGTTTGCGTTTTCTCATTTGATTGTAAAATCTGTGCTTTCTTTCCTTCAAAGGCTCAAACTCAGGACATCGTTCCAACAATAGGATTCAGTATAGAGAAATTCAAAACTTCAAGGTAGTACTTTCTGTCTTCATTAGCAGTAGTGGTTATTATACAATAGTTGCACTTAATTATCTCTTTCAGTGAGTTTGTAACTGAGTATCATGTGTGGTGGTGTAATGACATGACACTGCAGTTTGTTGAAATGTAGTTCCACCACAAGACCTGATCATGTTCCAGAACTGTGTGTTACAGTAAAATGTGTGTTTTGCTGCTATAAAACTATTTTTTAAAAAATTAAATTTTTGTTTGTTTTATTGCAGCAGCATGTATAAATATCTGATCCCTGACTGTTGAGAGTTTCAGAATAGGGCACTGTTACAGAGTGGAGAAGAGACAGCTGCTGAGGTGGCAGCCTGTATTCCACTCTCAATCTGGTAACCTAAATTAAGCACTCTCACTGGAGGTACTCTGAGCAGATTGCAGTGTAATCTCATTAAATGCAAAAGGATGGCTACAGCATTAGCAATGCAAAGGTGGCAGGAGCAAAAGCCAGGAAACAGAGTAATAAGTCATTAGTTGAATGAAGGTTAAGATTTAGATTAAGAATGTGGTGACGAAGATATTTCAAGGAGGCAGCATCATTTTGTTATTTTGTAGCCTTCACTGGATGTGAAAGTGTGTGTTTCAGTGTGTGCAGTTAGTCTTCAAACCAAGCAGTGTAGCCACACTGGGTGGGAGATCTGCAAGAAAATTGTTTGTTCCTTGAGCTGGTAGTGAGACTGAGAGGTTTTGTATTTCTCTGAGAGCTTCTACAACTGAGCTCTGTCTCAGTAAAGTACATCAGACAGGTTTGGGACCTTCTATGTGAGAATGTAAATTAATTTCTATTGCTTTTTTTTAATTCTGATGATGATGACCTGTAAATAAACCATGTAGAATGATTAAAAAGCCCAAAACAACCCCTAAAAAACCCACCCAAAACCTCAAATTCTACAAACTGACAAACCCACAACTCTATGTCTGGACATAGAGTGGAAAAGATGTCTGGAGAGCTTCCTTTTCCCAACCTCATTGTTTTGGTGTGGCCTCCACTTGGGGAGCTACTTAGGGCTACCCAAAAAAGGACAGCCTAATTCTGAAGTCAATGTTGCCTCTGTAAATATTTCAGGAGCAGATGAGAACTTTTTGTGGTGTTCAGTAAGTTGCCTTGCTGTATGTAGTGTTTGGGTGAAATCCAAACAGTGGCAAAGACAGCTCTTTGTAGCTTGCTCATCTGAACTCACCTGTTTTTACCAAAATGTGATTTCTTTTTTTTCCTAAAGGTGGAATTTATTTTTTTTTTAAAAAAAGCCTTTTATTTTGCATACATTTATACCTGTCTAGGGTATAGAATTTAACACAGGCCATGGATTTTAAGTCATGGTTCATCTGAACTTCATGTACTCATAAACAATATTTGATACCAGCATGACAGAGAGACCAAATGGAACCTTCTTTTGCAATTAATGTAACTTTAAATAATTGGTTTAGTTGTTTTATTCTTGTAATAAACATATTATCCATTGTGAAATATTTCTATAATAAGACTGCAAAACTGACTAGGATAATTTGAAAGCAGATAATGCAACCAGAGTTTCTTTGGGAATTTTTCTCAGTTGATTTGAATTCAAATTGATCTGGCTTCTTTTTTTTTCTTTTTTTTTTTTTGTCAGGGTAGCAAAGGAAATGGATGTGGGTTGGGTTTTGTTCTTTTTTCTGGGCCTCATGCACTTCTTTTCTTTGCAGTTTGTCTTTCACAGTGTTTGATATGTCAGGTCAAGGGAAATACAGAGACCTCTGGGAACATTACTACAAGTAAGCCTATAATTTATTTTAAAGCATTGCTGTTTGTATTAATTGTTGTGTGAGTTATTTAGACAGAAGTATGATAATATCTAGTGATTAGAAATGATTCAGAGAAGGCTTATACCTGATGTTTGACAGAAGGTTTATTCTGGATAAATAAAACTTTCTGTTGTAACAAATGAAAGTTTTTATTTGCTGTTATTCTGTGCTTTTGGGGACAACTTGAGGGAACATTAACTAGAGGTGAGATTTAAATGTTGAAACCTGAAAAACAATCCTGTAAGAAAGCTCAAGGTCAGCTAGGTTTACAATTTTTCAGTTCTTCTGTGAGTCAGCAACTTAAAACCTGCAAAATATTGGCTGATGGCTAAGATTTTTAGAGGCGAGGGAAATGAGCCTTAGAGAATAAGGCACGTGTAACTAAGAACCTGAATGAGCATTCTTAATGTTATTTATTAAACAGGATACTCTCTGTACTTTATAACACTCTGGTATTGCCTTTTGGTAAGAGATGGACACCATTCTCTGGTTTTGGAGCTTTTAGTGAAACTTAATCTTTATTTGCATTGTCTCATTGCTGTTCTTTAATGCCTGATCCTGATCTAGATAACATGAACAATACTAAATACTAAATACTCCATGCAGAAGTAGCTTGGAGAAATAGAAGGGAGAAATTCTGAAGATTATAATATTGATTAAATATTAATATCAGTTGTGTTAGAGCTTAAATTGTATTTTAATTGGAGATTAATGCTTCCTCTCCTTCCTGTGCAAATTGTGTTAGCATTGAAAACATTTGGCCAGGAGATCTTCATTGTTCAAGACTGTTAGATTTGCATTTCAGTAACTGATGCCCTCAGGCTACTCTCAGAATGCTAGCAGAGTGCTTCATAAGCAAATAATTTTTATGATTTCTGTATTTAATGCAGTAACTTTTCCCTTGTGGGGCATAAATGGCTTTTTCATCTTAACAATAACTCCCTAACAGTAGGGGAGTTTTTTAGGTTATGCTGACAGTGAAATATGCACTTGTATCCACCTCTGGACCTGATCCAGTGCAGTAGGGACATAATTAAGATTAACTTCTAAGAATAGTATAAAATCAATAATTAGTATTAATTAAATAAAAATATTAATAAAACACATGCTGTTCAGTTTATAAAGTTAACTAATATTTAGTTTTGTAGGAAATGAACTCTGGGCAAGTGTCAAAGTAGTTGACTTGGAGTCCTTCAAGTCTGGGCTTTTTCTTCTGTTTAGCTTGAAACTATCTTCTAGGTCATCCTCTAAGTACATTTATCTTAAATAATCCCAAAGTCATGTTGTCTCCCTATCCCTGTTACTTCTTTGTGAAGTTATTTTTTTGGTGGTAAATACCTGCCAGTACTCTTGATTCCTCTGGTAAAACACTCTCTGCTCATGAAAATTGCTTAGGCATTTTCAGCTAGTATGCAAAAGCTTTATTTACTAAAGGTTCTATACACCACAAAAGAATGGGCCTCCTCATACAGTCTTGGGCTGCTCAGGTTATTTCTGGTTTGCAGCAGGTATAGAACTGTTTCTTATCAAAATACAAAGATAGATGGTGCTGGAGGCTAAAGAATGTACTCATAATGGTCTCTTAGAGAAATGTAAAGTGAAGGAGAGGTGAATATCACATTAAAATATAAAGTAAATATACTTTTTGTGGGTGTTTTATAACAGGTGAATTATGAATTAGTGAGACTTTATTTGGTTTTTCAAAACAAGTTTCAATCAATGGAACATCAAGTCATAAAATATCAGTAACATTCTGAAATAATGAGTTGAGTAGTTGCATATATGGTGTCACTGTGATCATACTCCCAGCAAAATGTCCTAATGATTTGAAATAGTTGAAAGTTTTCACCTGCTATTTGAAAAAAAAAAAGAAAGATCCTCTTTATGCAGGATATGTAAAAATTAAAATTACCTGCATATGCCTAGCTCTGGATACAAGTCTTTTTATAAAAAGATATTTGACCTTTCTCTAAATAAACTTTAGTACAGGAAATACAAAATTTCCATAAAGATCTGTCTTTATGTTTGTTTTTTTTTGTGCCTGACCACAATGTCAAAATAGCATTTGGTTACATTTTGAGTTAATTTTTCGGTCAGGGTAGTAAAATAAAGCTTTTCTAGAAGGTGTGTGGAGATTGAACCTTGTAGGGGCAGGTAACAACCTCATATCTAAAAAAAATTATGCATGTTACCAAAAGATTGAATTTCAGAAATAAGACTGGGTTGAAATTTTCATGGTAAATAACAATGACAAAAATTAGAGGAAAAATCAGGTTTGTTTGGACTCTTTTCTTGGTGTTTCTTCTGAAGCCTTTTCTTATTCACAGTTTGAGAACCTATAATTTGCCTCTTTGCTCTTTTTATGTTATGCAGAGAAGGCCAAGCCATTATTTTTGTCATTGATAGCAGTGACAAATTAAGAATGGTTGTGGCCAAGGAAGAACTTGACACCCTTCTGAATCATCCAGGTGAGGAGGCTTTCTTCCCCTTCTGTGTCCATATTTGTTATGTTGTCTTAAGAAAAGCCCTTTTCTGACACATTCTGAGTATTTTGCAAGTATTTTAACCATTCATGAATATTAGAACAATAATAGTCTTCAAAAACTTGGGTTTGTTTTTTTATCTATTCTCATTTAGAAATCGGTCACGTTTCAGCTTTCTACACTGAGTTGGGTTGGTCTCTTATTAATCAATATAGATCAAAATTTACATTGTTTTGAGAGAGAATAGACTTTGAGTTGGAAGCTGGAGAGGCTTCTTGTGTTGACCAGACAAAACTGTGTCTCCCTGTCTGTTTTTTCCATGAAGACAGCTAATTCCTTTAATGTAACATTTAATTTTCTTTTGTCATCTTCATTATATTTTTTTATGCTTTAGACAGAAATAAGGAGGGATAATTGCACCAGTCAGTTTCAATTCACTATGGAAGAGGATATGAGAGGATTCATGATCAGGGTCTTGGTTTTAGGGGTTTGGTTTGGGATTTCTTATGTAACACTGCACCTTAATTAAGTTCTGGTATCAGTCAATTCTTTGCCTTTCCATATATCCAACATTACTGGGATGTGTCTGTAAGAAATATGCAATTTTGACTTTCAGCACTTTTGGTAGTTCTCTGCCTAACCAGAATATAGAACTACTACATCTAGGAAGATTAAAAGTGAAATAATCCTGTGATTCCTTAATTATTTATTAAACTGATAGAACCTTAACTTGTGTGATTCCCATGCTGAAAATAAGAAAGGAAAAGCTGACTTGCATTTCTAAGAAAAGCAATGTGTGATAGGGACAAATATGTTCCCATGACTTTGTTTTCCATGAAGACTGTATGTAACACTTTAATTCATCAACAAAGATGCCGGAGCTGACTGGGCCTTGTTATTCTCATTCTCTAATTTCTCATTCAAGGGTATGGGCTACTTCAAATGCAGACACTGAAAAGATAATGTTACAAAAGTCACAGGGAGGATGAGGTGAGCCAAAGGCTGCAGGTGGATTACACAGATGCCAGGGCACTTTGTACCAAGTCAGGAATTAACTGCAGCACTAAAAGCCAATTCTGTTGGTAAAGAGGAACCACACACAGCCAAGGGTTAGAGGCAAAGCTGCTGGAAGAAGTTACTGGTTTAACAGAGGGCAGGAGGGTGAAAATGTTTAGATGGAGTAAAAGCAACCTTAAGTGGGGCTTTTCATTTAGGCATTAATAGGTCACTAATGCTGACCTAGCAGGTCAGTGCTGTTCAGTTGTTTGTGAATTTGATGAATTTGTGTCTTCAAGTTAAAAAGACCAGGCTCTGGCCACTGAGTGCACAACCAGGAGACAGCAATTGTGGATTTCTGTCTTGCAGTGGTTTAGCTTCAACACAGCAACAGTGTTACTGATTTATCAGTTCTGATATTTCACATCTAAGAGAACCAAAGAGCTGAAAAAGTTCTTCTAGGATAATGTTCAATCAAAGTAGCTGTTATGTGAATCCATATATAACTGGTTTGCTATATCAGTATTTTTTTTTGTATTAGTGTTCTGCCTTTCTTGCTGAATGCTCTACTTTCTCCTAGTCTATGCTTCTGTCTGTGTCATCCTCCTGGAGTGGTTTAAATGTACATGCTTACCTAAGTTTGAAATGAAATCTAATCAATTCCTGTCTCTGAAAATCTTAGTGACCCCACAGTAAAACAGTTCCCTGTCTCTTTGCCAGGCTTTGCCTGAGGGAAAGGGAAGGGAATGTGTCCTGTGAAGCATTAATGGAGTTAGAAGTTCTACTAGGTGGGACTTTAGTGAATCAGAGCTATAAATTATTTTTACTTACATTAATGGACAATGCCCTCTTCAATTAACAGCTTTAATGATAGCTGTATCATATTTTGGTTTTTTACTACAATTTCATTCTTCAGCACTTTGAAAGATGGTAGCAGTAGATTACCTGGATTAGATGATGACTCTTGGGTCACTTCACCTCCAGCACATGCTTCTAAACTAAACTGAAATTCTTTTAAACTTGAAATTCTTTGTGTAAAATTGCACATCACGCATTTAATGTCTGGAATATTTTTTAATGTGTTACTTCATAGCCACTTTCAGCTAGAAAGGTTTGCTTTCCACTAGTAACTGTGAAAAGTGTGCACATTAGGAAATTATACAGATTTTTGTGACCATGACTTTATGTAGCAGATATCTTTGGGTGTGCATTATGAGTCTGGGTGGGTAGGTTGTGCCCCTTTCTAATTGTTTAGGAAAACACTGGAAACTCCTTGAATAACTTGGCTGTTTGCATATGTGATGTCAGCTAATTTATGTGGTTTTAATTTACCCATAACCTGCAACCTGTGGGTACATGGGTTAATTTAGTTATACTGTAAATTAATATAGAAGTTTTAGTTAGGAAACTCAATAGCTGTCCAGCTATTTAATTATACTGTGCTTTTGTTTTGAGGCCTTTGACTTGTGTTTATGGATATCAGAGGGCAAAAGAGATTCAAATAGGGTAAATAGTTTGTGAAAATGGTCAGTGTTTTGATCAGCACTTATCATCTGTGAATAATGAATATGGACAGGCAGTGTTATCTCCACTGATTCTGTGGAAAGATTTAATAGGAAGGTGGAAAAGAACATAATTGGGGAAGTTCAAACCATTTCAGCACTGAGAGGTTGTTGGAATTTGGGGGGTTTTTATCGTCTTCCTGCCCATTGACAGGGGCAGATGGCTTATGTTTGACATTTTAAAATAAATTCTTACCTAGTTCCCTGTGTGAAATAACATTTTCTTTCTACTGTTTTGAAAAGAGCCTGTGTAGCAATTTTCATTGAGATGGTAGAGTGTAAGTTCATTTCCTATCAAGCACTGATGGATAGACTAAAACCTGGATTTTCTCTAATTCTGGATATCATCCTTTGTATAAATAATATGAAAAACTCTGAGAGTTAGTCTTGGTGCTGACAATTTTTTGGCAGTGTTACATCTGTAACTTTGAAAAGACTACACTTTGCTTCCTTTCAATCACCATATAATTTTTTAGGGCAATCTGTGAGGTTTAAGCTTGTCTATGTGTAAGTATCCCAGAAACTACCAGAGTACTTTGGTCTGTAGTTCTGTCTGCTACGTGCAGGAGCTTCTGGAGAAGTCCTTCAAGGGAAGGTAGAATAAAGGATGTCCAGTTATGTGCATTTTTTTCCAATTTTATAAATTCTTTGAAGTAATGGATGCTTTCTAGGACTCTAAAGGATAATTCAGACTACCCTTCTCAACTGTTGTTGTGACAATATGAATGAATGCAAGTGATTTTTTTTCCATCCATTTTATACATCAGTCCTCACTAAGCAGAGATGTGCAGTGTTTGTAGGCAGTGGTTTGATCTCTTGTTCCTCAGCTTCACCAGCAATTCCTATCTCCAGGTTGAAGTGTAGGTATAAGGTAGGGGGAGAGGGGGTGGAAGATTCCAAAGTCTGCAAGGAGATTTGTGAGCATTCTGGAAGCATGCAGCAGAGGCCAGGTGACCCAACAGTGTGTGCATCTTGGTAGGATGCAACCTTCAGAGAATTTGCAGCTACAGGTGAGCAAAATACCTTCCTGTGCTGTTTGCACCTTGTTACATGCAGAGATTAATGAGTGTTGCCTCATGTCCTAAGGGTTCTGTCTCTGCTCATGCCTAGATATTAAGCACCGTCGACTGCCTATTCTCTTCTTTGCTAACAAGATGGACCTCAGGGATGCAGTGTCATCTGTGAAAGTGTCTCAGTTGCTGTCCTTAGAAAACATCAAAGACAAGCCCTGGCATATCTGGTAAAGTTCTCTTTTTCCATCCATTTATTTGCATTACTTTGTGCATTCCTATGTTAGCCTTGTTGTGGCACTCACTACTGTATAAAATAAATGGAGTAGATAAAAGACAGATTCCACATGTGAAACAGTAGTAATTTTAAAATACTTACGGTGAAACTTACTTTAAATGTACAGTGCATTCATTTAGACTGTGTCTTTAAAGTTTTCCCAGCAGAACTGTTAGCCAAGTAATGGAATGCAGGATTTCCAGTGAAATCAGAAAGCGGAGTTGATATGAGAAGAATGGTTGCCATTATATTTTGCTGGGAAATGGAGCAGAATTGTTATCAGAGTGCTTCTGTTAGATTACCTTGCAGGTTTGAGAATATCAGTAATAAAACCTTTGGAGGTTTTTTCTACTCTGGAGATGCTTCAGTAAACTGTTGTTGAAAGGCCATGTAGTAAACTGTTCTCTTCTGAATACAGAGGGATACTGTACTCTGTACCCTGTCATGTTTGAGTGGATTTTTAGTTGTAGAAGCTAGTATTTTCTTCCTGAAGGATCTAAGCTTTACTTAGTGCAGGTGTTCACAAAGAAAAACTCTCCTTTTATCAGAAGTGCTTTATAGAAGTTGGCTTTTTGTCCTATTAAAGTCCTCAGCTGTTATAAATAAAGGTGAAATCAGCAGCTAAATGCTGCTGAAAGCTACAATTTTCATTTAAGGCCCTTTAATGTTAAACTTGATTACCTGGATATAGTTTCTGTCCAAAAATCATACTCATGAATTCCCAAGTTTCTTGGAAAATCATTTTATAGGGAACTGCAGTTACAGTTTGGATTTACTGCTGGGCTGCTTTTCATGAATTGAAGAATGAAGAGCATTTAAACAGTTATCCCCCAGTAATTCAGAAGGTGGATTTACACTGCTCTCAGCATAGCAGAATAGTTTTATACATTAACAGACACTCCTGGGGTTGCTGTTACAATGAAGTGTGTACATACACACATAATTCCTCCTTCCAGTACTCCAGCATTCTCACTGTGTGTAGGAACTGCATGGAGGACATTTGGGCTTGATCATCTTGAAGGTCTTTTCCAGGCTAAATGATTCCATGATTCATGGCTGCTGCTGGAAGGAGTAAACATCTTTCACAGCGTTGTCTGAGGAAGGAGGTGCTGCAGAACAATGTGTCTGCCCTGTGTGGGAGCTCTCCCAGAGCCCCCTGTGTTCTAGGAATGATTCCTTGTGCCTTGAAACTGGAATTAAAATAGATCATATTGTGAAATGGTGTTTCCCTATGGGGAAGGTACCATGTATCATTTGAGGAGCAGTCTTCTCCATGGGAAGAAGACTTAAGGAAAGTGTACCTGATGCTACATTGCAATTATGTAAATTATAAGTTTAGTGATGACTCACCTAAAACTGGTATTTTTACAATGTTTTTTAAATTTGATTTGTTTCTTTCAGTGCCAGTGATGCTCTTAAAGGAGAAGGATTACAAGAAGGTGTGGATTGGCTCCAAGGTATATCACATGTAATTCTTTTGCTCTATTTTCATTCTGTTAAACTCTTTCATTTTGTAAGGTTTTTTTCTTTATTATTTCCTTTGTTTTCTTTCTGTCCATTTCTGCTGTCAGATCAAATTACACAGTGAGTACTAAATCTGTCTTGTATTTGCCTTTCATTTACCTCCTTAGAGTACACAAAACATCATGTGGGCTTCCCTGACCAAAGTGTGTATTATGAAATACTAATGCACACTCTTGCAAACAGTCTAGCACTTTCATTTAAGCAATACCATCTCCTGCACTTCAGTTTCTGATTGTGGTAGTTCAGTTTCTTCTTTAATTCATTCTTAATATCCTGTCCCTGTTGTACATAACTTAATGTTATGTATCAAGAAATGGTGAAAGAAAGTAAGCCAAGTAGGCAGACAGATACACTGGTTATAATTATACACCTTCAGCTCTTTAATCCAGAGCCAAAAGAAGAACTTCTTACACTATAACGATTATAGGACATGCAGACACTCATAACTGCATGGAAAATATCAGATTCAGCTTGGATGATGTCTGACATCCAGCATCTTTAATTACAAACTTGGTACAGATGTCGTGTCTCCTCCTGTTGTGTGTTGGTAAGGCTCTGGTGTCTCTTGTGCTCCTGCTCAGTGTTTAGATTAGTGAAGTGTGGCATCGTTTTGGCAGACTGCTATCCCAGTTTGAGCTCCCTGACTGGCCTTAATGGTGCTGTGAAGTGCTTCGGGTGGTGCGGGCTCAGCTGAACTGCAGCAGCCGCCTGTGCTGTGCCCCGCTGGCCACCGGGTGTCAGCGCTGGCCCGGGGACAGAGCCTCCTTCCGAAAGGGTAACAGCCAGCCCTGGCCCGGGTTATCTCATCCCCACTGCTCTGGGGACACCAGACTGGCCTTTCTGCTTAGACTCGTCCTGCTGACTAGAAAAAGATGGTTTGTTTTACCGAGGTATTGTAGAGTACAAAAACATTCGGTCGTGTTTTCAGAGGGAGGGCTGCTTGCCAAAAATAGCCTTCAGAGAAAGATTTATTGCCTTACAGAGGACCAGTGATGTTTCCTCCACCAGCTAAAATAATTCTAGGGTGGGAACCAGCATCTTGGCATGGGGTTTCCTCCTCTCCTGTATCCTATCATCATAGAGGCAGATTCCAAATCATTATTTTTCCTAATTTCAGGCATAGTTCTGGCTTAGTACATGTTTTCTTGCTATGTTCAGGGTCTCTGCTTCTCTTGGAGGAACCTTTAGAGTTTCAGTCCAAATTTTAGGTTTGTACATAGATTCATTCTACTTAAAAGGATCTCAAATACTTGTGCAAATATTTTCTGACAAAATATTTAAGTTATATATGTAGATTTTTTTTAAGCACAGCAAGCAGATGCTTCTGCTGTCACTCACATAGCTCTTCATAGCTCTTCACTTCTTATGGGGTGTTAAACTTCTTAATTTTCTGAGCTGAAAATCCTCATGGATGGATTCTATCTGAAAATTTCCTTCAACTCCCTGGTTCAGTGAATCCAAAAGCTTAAGAGGGGTTGAGTTTAAACTGTACTGTTACCTAAGCACACGTGGTTTGGCAATTATATATTTAAAAGGCTGAATACTTTGATATTTCAAGGACAAATTTTTACTCTTGATTCTCCTCATTCCTAGAGCACTAGATGGAAATATTTGGAACAGCTCTGTAGTTTTGGTAGTCCCTAAATCACAGCCTGGGGATGCCATAAAATTCAGGGGAGGAAATGACACCTGGTGAATGAGTGCACAGTTCTTGTCAGCAGCCAAGCTTTCCTTTGTTTCCCTTTCCAGACCCATTCCCAATTAGGGTGGCAGGGACAGAAAGTTTTTTGGATTCTTATTCCTAGTGAAGGCTGAGTTTGCTATTTTCCTGTTTTGTAATGGGGTTGCTTTTGCAACTGCACATCCTCTGTAGGGTAAAACAAACCTGTTTTTACATTTTGTAATGGGATGCTGGATGCTTTCGGTAACCAAGAAAATGTTTGAAGTGAGTTGAGAAACGGCAATCAGGCAGCAATATGGAGAAATGTGTCTACTGAGAGCAAAGTTTTCATGAGTTATTCAAAACCAAACTTTAAATTTTTGGCTGTTGGGCAGTGCATGTTCAGTTAAGTGGAATCCAAAATGTGTACAAGGAATTGAAATGCACGCTTCATAAAGCAATCTTCCAGGTCTTATTGTCATCAAAGTGATCTTATAAGCCTGAAGATGACAAAAATTTAATTAGGTGGAAGAGTCTCCCTGCTTAATTAGCAAGATTTGGGGGAAACAACTTGGCTGTACAGGAATTTCAGAAGTGGGTGAGAGGGCAAGTTGAAAACAACTCTGCGTTGTCCCCCATTCTTGCAACTACACCAAAATACCTAGATCTATTTTATGATTTCAAAAAGCAAAATGCAGCAAGAATTCATCTTGTGCTAAACTAGATGTTTATTTTTATTCACAGGTCAGATGCAAGCAATGAAGACATGAGAGATAAATAAAGGATCTATGGGGCTCTTTTGTACCCTTTGTCAGTAGGTGAACAAGTTCCTTGGAAAGGAAGAATGATTTTAAGAAGATGAACAGTTCAGCTAAAATATCCTGTATTGACTTGTTTCATTTTAGTATCTCTTCCATGAAAACTGAATGTAGAGAACCTAGCACCTCAGGTATGCACATTAATGAATTAAATCTTGTGACTGGAAAGCGTATACAAAAATAAAAAAAAAAATTGTGTTAACAATAAACATCTTTGTTCATTTGAGGTTTAGGTGATTACTGGACATCAGGAAATTCCTCTCTGTTTTTTGGGGGGACTCCTTTTGAGCAAATGGGAATATTTATTTTCCAGAGAAAGAATAATCAACACTTCCTGAAATCCAGCTACATAAGATACCTACTGATTTTAGGTGCCCAGTCTTAGGCATTAGTGCCATTTTTTTATATTAAAGTTTGACATTGGGTTTTTATTATCCATCTTTAATAGACTTCTATAAGAATATTTTGATTAAAGATACAAGGATTCAGTTGTTCAGTGTATTTGGTACAGATGATTGCAGATGTTTATAAGAAATTGCTTTTAATGAAATGTTATGATTTGTTTTTGTGATTATGCCATGGTTATATTTGCATTCCCATAAATAAAACTTAAAATATACTACATGCCCTGATTGGGTTTTTTAACTTTAATATGTTCATTAATAGTCTTCACATCCTAAAGATTTTTTGTTTTCTATTAGTTTCATTTGGAATTTGTTTATCCATATTCAAGTGGATATAGCACTGTATATGTAATAAAATGGTATCTCTGTTGCCAAGGTTTTTTTAATTAATTGCATATTTTTTTTACACTACCTAATCAACTAGACTGCTCTTCACATACCTAAGGAGCATAAGAATCACAGGATGGGTCAGACTGGAGGGACCAGGGTGGGGTCATCTGGCCCAACCTCCCTGCTAAGGTAGGATAGGACCATCCCAGAGCACATGGAACAGGATTGCATCCAGGTGGTTCTGGAATATGCCCAGTGAGGGAGACTCCACACCCACTCTGGACAATCTGTTCCAGTGCTTGGTCACTGCACAGTAAAGTTCTTCCTCATGTCCAGGCAGAATTTCCTGTGCATCTGTTCCTTGCAAGTTGTATTTCAAACACACGGTTAAGGAACAGCTCACTGGTTTACTAGATCATTATTATGAAGTGTGTTATATACTTCTGTTGTCTATAAAGACTGTTTTACTTTCAAAAATAAATTTAAAAAACTTTCTGGCTCCAAAGATGTGCCATAGCTAACAAATCAAGAACTCTATTTTTGTTCTGCCCCCTCTTCCCTTTCAATCCCTCTGCCCTCATTCAGGAAAGAGCAGACTGACCCTGGCAGTGCTGAAGACTCCATTTAACTCAGTGATTACCTGATCCCTGTGGGACATGTAATGTGCAGCTCTTGCAAAAGCTTCCCCCCACACCCATTAGCATATAAAACACACAAATGTTCTGTCAGCATGCCTTCTAGGCCTCACTTCACAGAGGAATATTTGGAGCAAAGGGAGCTGAAATGGGAGAACAGTGTCATGTACTCTCATTTATTAAATAGTTAAATTTAACTCCCCTGCTTTGCCAGAAGAAAATCTCACTGTAAGAAATCTTTCTTACACGATGCTGTGGTTCTTACAGTTCAGTTTGTCATGGAAGTATGTTCATGTCTTTTTCTGTGACAGGGTTGGCCTTTTGTCAACTCTGAATCTAAGTATCTATACAAAAATCAAATACAAAGGAGGAACAGTAATATATAATTCAGAGAAGTTTTCCTCTGAATTGTGGGCAGATAATTTTCTGGTTTACTTTGCTTTGGATAATACAGTAATTAAAATAATGAGTTGGAAGGGACCTTAAAGATCATTGAGTTCCAGCCCCCGCCTTCCTTGGACAAGGGACACCTTCCACCAGCCCAGGTTGCTCAGAGCTCCATCCAGCCTGGCCTTGAACAATTCTAGGGGTGGGGAGACCACAAATTCCTTGGGCAATCACTGCCAGTGCCTCACCATGCTCTCAGTAAAGAATTTCTTCCTAATATCTAATCTAAAACTATCCTCTTGAAAATTATACTTGTAAAACTGTTTTGCTGTGTATATTTGTAATTATTGTGGTTCATGTATATGTCTTATTTAAATGAAACATTTAATTTTAAGTTAACAGTTTATTTTCTCACAAAGAAAATGTAACTTCTTCCATAAAATCCATCTGTATTTCTGACAGAACCAACTCAGTGTTTTGTGCTGTTGCTTCTGTGCACACTGCCCACCTACATATTTATTAATTTCCTTTAAATATGCCTGGTCAGGCTTTAGACTAGCATTTTCAGCTGAAATATGGTGCACTTGGTTTCACATACAAAGTGTTGCCTTCTAGGTCTCTTTACTGTCAGGGGGATTTTCAGGTAAATGTGCAAATCCTAATTTTCCTAGCTGTGCCTCTCTACTACAGAGAGCACCAGTCCATGGGAGCCTTGTGTTTAACTACCCCTTGCAGCTGTGCTGAGAGCCTGCATGGCCTTAACACTCCTGGGCAATTTCACATGAAGCCAGTGCAGCTCCAAGTGTGAGGATGTAAATGTAATGGAGCCTCCTTTTAATCTCAGCCCTCTAACTGTAATTTCCTTGGGGTGTTTTATTTACTAATAGGAGAGATAAGCTGCTGTAAAAAACCAGACATAACAGCCCAGCTTAGTTGTCTGCAGACAGGCATTCTGATGTGGTAATATGTGGAATGGTAACGTTGTACTTCAGAGCTTCTGTAAAACAGCTGTGCAACTGTTTTGGAAAGCAGCTTATCTCTTAAGCTTTAACTAGGAAATATCATTTTGTTGGTAATAAGTAGAAGTAACGCTGATTCAAAATGCTTGTCCTTAAAAGCAAACATTTATTAAGCCAAGAAATGGTGTTTAATCTCAAAAGGGGTGGGGATGGGGGGAGTTTTTGTTTGTTGAAGTTTTACTTGTTTTTGAAGTTTTACTTGGTTGGAAAATCATTCTTTTTATGATTAATACCTGTCATCCATTTATTTTATTCTTTCTGGCCTGCCTCATTCCCATTTTACAGAAATCCTTACGAATATTGATCCCCAACTTTTTGGTTTGCTTTTAACTTTTGCTGAGTACTCTACTAGTGAAACTTTGCAGCTCTCTTCCCTGTTGTTTTGGTTTTGGGTAAGTTTTTTTTTTTTGAGAAGCAAAATAGATAATGAGAGAAAGTCACAGTATACAGCACTAAAAAAGCAAAAAAGGGTATTACCAAGAAAGTCTCCCAACTCTCCTCTTTCAGAAGGTCAGGGAAGTTTGCTTTCAAAGGTTAATTAGACATGCCCTGATCCTTTTTTATTATTTTTCACTACTTAAATTTAAAAATGTACTGTTACTATGCAAAACTAATATTGTGTGTAATAGCTAATCACAGTTCAGAACTTTAAATGCTCTCTTGTAACAAATGCCAAGTGTTTTTAGTAATATTTTGTAACCATCTTTTAGTTCAAGGCTCTGTAGCTCCTGTCACAGTAAGTTACATCATGGAAGCATCTGTGTTTGTGTGAACCAGCACTTTGTAATTAATTTGCCACTGTTCAGTCAGTTGGATTTACCACTTAATTGGCTGAATTTTCCTGACCATATGAAATTCTTGCTCTCACAAGTACAGCATGTACGTGATAATGTACTGTTCTCCTTCAGTGGGTGTCAGGATCCCACCATGCAGATCAGCCGTGCTTGCTTTTCCCAGTCCTCTAATGACAGCATGAAACCCCCTCCCACTACTGTTTGTCAAAATAAATCCTTGAAATGAAAGCTAGACTCTTAATGCCTGTCTACTTTTAAATGATCTTGTATTCTCCAAATTGTTTACCAGGAGATGAACCTAATTGTATTACAATCATATTACTCAGGCACCAGCTCAAAAGGGGGTGTTTGTAATTTCTCTGGGATTCAGGGAGCACCTTTGAAGAACAGGGTAACTTGTGTAGTAAAAGAAGTGTAAATTTAGCAACTTCATGCTAGGCAGTATTTTGGCAAACAGTGCTGTCTTTGAAGATCAGTAAGTAGATTGAAGGCCTATAGCAAAATAGTTACTGAACCAAATGTAATTTGCTGAAGAGTTGCCTAACAGTTCTTAATAAAGGGAAGAAAAGACAGTAAGGAAAGATTTAAAAAATCAAGGAAATTAGGATGTGTGTGGAGGAAATTTCTTTGGGCTGGAGTCATGCTAGTGAATATTAAAGAAACCTAAGCCTCATGAGGCTCAGTGAGGTAACCATGATAAATGATTAAAGTGGATGCTTGGCAGTACAGACTAATGAGAGCAGCCCCAGCAAACTGCTTTTACAGAGCAAGGAGAGCTGGTGCGGAGAGCCTGATGTCCTAATCGGTGTGGCCTCAGTTTCCTTCAGCCTGAACCTTTCCAAGGGCTTCTCAGTCCTTGGAGCACGCTGTGCACTCTTAGCTTTGAGGTGTAGTTTCATCCAAAAAGAATTCAGTTCGTGTCCTCCCAGCCAACTCTGCAATGTAAACAAAAGCACTGTTAGTGAGGATTATCTTTAAAATACCCTCATGACCTGAATTAATGCACGAGTGGAGGCATGCCCGTTAAGAGGAAAACAATCCCAAACTTTTCAAACCGTGAGGTTGGAACCATGTGAAAGAACAGCAGAACTTGGCAAGAGGTCTCCACAAGCCAAGGTTCCCCAGGAATAATGCCAATGAAATATTTAGGAAAAATACAAGTTTGCAGTATGCTTCACTTGGAACTGAGAAAGTTTATTCCACAAATACAGGATATAACCATTAGAAGGGTAACACTTCCAGCTTGAAGGAAATGGCATAATGTCACTTGTGAAAAACAGGCAGTCATGAGTAAATAATACTAAATTTTAAAATCTTTATGTCAATAATAAAAGAGTTGTCTGTCAGGCATCACTGCTGTTGTTGGCATCATCTGTATTTATGATCACACAGGTTTAAAGGTGTTACTAGGAAAAGAACTTGGCAAATTTTTTTTCCTTAAAATATCACTCTGTGAGTAAATCTCTCTTTGTTTTAACCTTATCCACCAACATTTATTAGGATAAACTGAAAACGAAAAACGTTTCTAAAAATTGGTGTAATGAGGAACAAATGGAACCAATGAACCAGAAAGTAGATGTTGTTTTCAGTGATAGCAATATTCCAAGGGTTTTGTTCATCATGTATTACATCATCAGTTGATTACATTAAAGCATCTTGGACCCAATTTAACATTTTTATCTGTGAGGTGATGTTGTTGGCCTGTCATTAATTCTTGCTTTAGAGGAGTAAGGACTGGTGAAGGGTTTCTTTTCAAGGGTAGAATGTTTCTGCTGGGAAAGGTAGTGCTTTTCTCTTGTAATACTTGTTTTTATTCCCTCTTCACCCTCCTTTTTTGAGGTGATCTTTTACATCCTTAGGTAGTTTTCAACAGGGAGGTGTTACTCTGTTTTGAGATGCCTAGAACCTATGCATAATTATTTTCTTAGTCCTCTGCTGAGTTTTAAATCAAGAGCAAGTTAATGGTCTAAAAAATTTTTGGCAGCAGTTTCAAAGCAGGCTAAATTGATCCATTAACTAATCCAACCCAGTGGTTAGAAAGTATTGCTGTAATTTGCAATTAAGTTTTGAGTCTTACTGTTTCTTTCATTGGTACCATTATAAAATTAGATCAATCACTGTTATGTTAGAAAACAATTGCAGAGCAGCCACTTCAGTGCTGATTTACCACTGTTATTATAAGTGCATATAGCAATAATATAATAAA